AAAATAGCAAAGAACAGGAGATTTGTCCATACTTTTTTCTGTTACACATTAATGTGGTACAAAACAAAGAAGCAAACCTGCTGTCCTTATCAGCATGATCAAACTGGATAAAATTTGCAATTTTGGTCCTTAAAATCTTGGTTTTGGTGATTTGAATACTTGAAGACTGTTGTGGCATTAAGTCAGAGATTTTAGTATTTTAAATTTCATAGGCATTTGATCCTCTGCCATGAGGGGAAAAAAAATACAATTTTAGACTACTATGGTGTTTTTTATTTTTTTATTTTTGTCAGTTATATTTTGAGGATTGCAATTTGTTGCAGTAGTTTTTATTCTTCGTCAATTTGTTTCAATAATTTTTTCGGAGTTTTAATTTGTATAATCATTTATTTTTTGTGTCAATTTTTCTCTATCATCATTTTTTAGCATACTTCAGCAGGCTTCATGATTACATGACTGATCTTGCCAGCAAACACAAGACTTATAGATTAGTCGCCCCTTTTCGAAACGAGGTTTATACGTCCGACCCAGCTAACGTCGAGTATATACTCAAAACCAACTTCGAAAATTTCGGCAAGGTGATTTTTTCTTTTTTCTTTTTTTTTCTTTTTCTCATTTTTATTGTTTTTTATGCCTTTTTGCTTTTCAAGATTCTTTTTATAGCTTTTCTTATTAGGGATGGCACAATTACGGCATCTTAAATGATTTGTTGGGCGATGGTATTTTCGCTGTTGATGGCGAAAAATGGAGAGAACGGAGGAAAGTGTCGAGCCTCGAGTTTTCGGCCAGGGCTTTAAGGGATGTTAGCAGCACAATTTTCAAAGAAAACGCGGTTAAACTTGCTAAAATTTTTTCAGAAGCTGTGGCTTCGAATCAGCCGATGAATATTCAAGTGAACAACCTTAAACCTTTTTCGTTTTTTCTTTTTTTTTTTTCTGTCTTTCTTTTGCTTGATACAATTTTGATTATTTTATAGTTGTTGTGATCTTTGCAGGACCTATTTATGAAGTCGACTCTAGATTCAATATTCAGGGTCGCGTTTGGGGTCGAGCTGGACAGCATGTGTGGTTCAAATGAGGAAGGTTCGAGATTTAGCCGTGCTTTCGATGATGCAAGTGAGATTACTGCTTGGAGATATGTTGATATATTGTGGAAGATAAAGAAGGCTTTGAACATTGGTTTGGAGGCTAAGTTGAAGGCTAATATTCGGATTATCGACGAATTCGTTTACAAGCTCATCCATAACAAGACGAAACAAATTGAACAAGTTCAATATGATGATAATGTAGGCGAATAAATTATGTTATATGCTATTTTTTTTTCTTTTGTATGTGTAACAACTTGTTGTAATAACAATAATCCTTTTCACGATAGGCGGATTTGAGGAAACAAGACATCCTAACGAGATTTCTCAAGTTGTCGGGGGGCGAACCAAAGTACTTGAGAGATATAATACTCAACTTTGTTATGGTCGGTAAGGACATGACAGCAACAACAATGTCCTGGTTTTTCTTCATGCTCTGCAAGCATCCTCTCGTGCAAGAAAAGGCGGCACGTGAAATCGAAATAACCGTGAAATATGGGGACGAAAATGCAAATTTATCGGAGTTTGCAGCGAATTTGAGCGAAGAAGCTCTCGACAAGATGCATTATCTTCATGCTGCACTAACCGAGACTGAGACTCTATCCTCCGGTTCCCATGGTATTAAAGAAAAGAAAAGGAAAAAACAAGTTTACTAAACAAACATAATTTGATATTCAAGTTCAGATTGATTACTATGTTATCGAACACGAACGAGCTTTGTTCGCGAAACAGTTCGGTTCGATAACAGTCCTAATTACAGAATACTAGTTACATGATAAATACTACCTCTTATTTTTTTTAAATGTCATTCTAGCTTTATCAACCATTAACCAAATAAATGACGTTTTGGATCTTTTGTACATATTTTTTCATTATTATCCTCATTTAGCTAATAATTACACTACGTCTTTTCATGTTCACTCTTCATCTTTTCTCAAAACATCCATCTCTATCTTCATTAATGAGGGTTATTATTGGCAAAAAAAAAAATTCTTAATTATTGTGAACTTCTCAAAACGACACTTATTAAAAATAGGAGGAAGTACATAATACTAGTTACATGATAAGTATGATATTTTTTCGCGATTTTGAAGGACCCGAAAATGTGCTTTGCGGATGATATACTTCCAGACGGGTTTAGTGTTAGAAAAGGTGATGTCGTAGCTTATCAGCCGTACGCAATGGGACGAATGAAGTCAATATGGGGCGATAATGCTCGGGATTTCAAACCGGAAAGATGGATAGATTATAACGGTTGCTTTAAACCGGAGAGCCCCTTCAAGTTCACGGCTTTCCAGGTTCGTACAAAGGCAAAAATTCAATTTTGGTCCGTTTATTTGTTCAAAGTCCTTTTTTGGTACACTAACTTTTCCATCATCAATAATAGTACGTTATGTTCAAATTTGTATCACTATTGATACAAATTGCAACATAACATGTTGTTTTTTATGAGTAATGTACCAAAAATGATACAAATTGCAACATAACTTACTATTGATAAGGATAAGTTAGTGTACCAAAAATAAAATTTAGACAAATAAACGGACCAAAATTGAAATTATTCCTTCGTACAAATGCAAACAATCATTAAGATAGAGAAATAATCAACTTAACCAAACATTGTATTGTTTTCCATGGCGAATAGGGAGGCCCGCGAATATGTTTGGGAAAGGATTTCGCGTACCGGCAGATGAAGATTCTCACGGCTGTCCTTTTGAGATTCTTTGTGTTTAAGGCAAGTGAGGAGAAGAAGGCCGTGAAATACAGGACGATGATCAATCTTCACATAGCCGGGGGGCTTAGCGTTCGTGCTTGCCGGAGGTCGGATTATGTCGTGCTGACGTAATATGACTGTTTGTGTTTGTGAATTATAATGTTGTCTTCATATCACAAAGGTGATTATGTGACGTAATATGGTGATTTTTATTTTGTTTTTAATAATATTGTTGAACACCTAAAACATTTTACTTTTTCTTTGTTTTTTTAATTAATTTACTCTTTTTTGCATTTTTTTTATATGTATAAAGAGATGTACATGAGACATTATACTTTTAATCAAAAAAAAAAATGAAAAAAAGCATTTTTGTTAAAATTGAAATGTTAATGTTGGTGATTTTCCCAACAATCAAACTTTGCACATTATATGGGTTGATCTTTAATTTTTCATGGGCCTAACGATTGCGTATGTTGCAATTGATATCAACTGCATTTTTGTTTCTGAGTTATTTATTCTGCACAGATGGATATTTACTATTGATTTACTTTACCTTGTTTTAGGAGTTTATTCGATTTCCCGAGAAGCCATGGATGACTATTTTATCGGGCTGAAATACTTCACACTTAATAGAGCATTTTTTTTTTTTTGTAAACAAAATTCCTTAAATCTACTTTTTCTTAATTTTATTCGTGCAGCATCACAAATCTTAGATAACAATATACCTCACAAATTTAATTTAGATGATCCCGCATATTTCCTATTTACTTTATTTTAAAATTATTACTTTAATCTTCCCCACTATCTTTTCCTTATTTTTGTATTTATTTTATGCCCAGGTTTTGTGAGGTTAATTTGAAACCTCAAACATGATTTAAAAACACAAACCTCAAACCTATTCCTTATAATAATCATAATAAACCTCAAAATTTGTGTTTGTTTAAACCTCTTCATAATCTATTATTAAGATGCCCTTATCACAATAATAATCCCTACGAAAACCAAACAAGCCTTAGCCATGTCCCTCGTGTTAACAAGCCTCGAGCAGCTCCTGAGCCCCGTGATAAATTTCGCGTTCGAGCGGTGGCTTAAGAATCCGCATTCCTTCTTAACGGAAATGAGCACGCTTTCGTTAGTCCGTTCGTGTAGGCTGAAACACATTCCCATATCCAACCAACTCCGTTTGATCTTCAATTATCCGTCAGAGTGCGACGGGATTTGGAGGGATAAATTCGTCAAGGCCGAGAACGCGAGACTCAACCCCAACTTTAAGCAAAGCTTGCGCTCGTTGCGCGTGCTGGCCAAGCTCGTTCGCGCCCTTGTTCAAGGGCTCAGGCTCGAGCACGATTCCCGAGTTTCTGTTGGTTATGCTGATTGTCAAAAATTATTGATAGGTAGGTAGCCATAAATATATATACATATATATAGCACCTGTTATGTGTTTTTGGTCTCATAATTTATTTACTTAAAATTAGAGATTTACTAGACACCCAACTCATAAGTAGTTCGTTGATTTCGTTGAGTTGGATTTTGGTCGGGAAAACGTGTTAATGTGACAGGCTATTGAGTTGGCATCCGACTAACATATTCATACTCAGCAAGCCGGTCATTGGCTTTTCTCGGTAAAATGAACAAATTTCATCGGATTATTTATCAATTTGGTGGTAGTTGAAGTACAAAATGTCCAATTTTTTGTCGGAAATTGAGATATTTTGATGATAAATAAAATAGAAATCATTGGAATTTTTTTTTTTCAAATTATTGAATATTTGTTTTTTTGTCTCAAAATCTCATGAATATATCTGAATATCTGACATAAATTTTCAAATGTCAAAGGGACTAACACTACAAGAATAATTATTTTTAGTAGCGAAAATTTTTGTTGCAATATGTTCAAATGTCGTCACAAAAAATACCGTCGCTAATAATGTCGCTATATGTTCGAATGTCGTCACAATAACCATTTTATAGTCATGACATTAATGTCGTCACTAAAATTAGTGTCGCTAATAATGATTATTCTTGTAGTGTAATACATCTTTGCATATTCTAACTTACTAAATTTCCCATTTTTATCGGTATATCATGCATGTCGACAGGGAAAACCGAACTTGTGGTTGTACCGGGATGCGGTGAGAACGAAAGCCGGGAAGTTGTTGATAAGCCGAGGAAACTTTGGGGCGTGGGGTTTCAATACGGAGCATTTGGAAAGGATGGTTTGGGATTTGACGCTGACTAACTTGGGAATCGACAATGCATTCTATTGTGGAAATGGAAAGATTGCTATGGAAGACCGCATGGTTCACTTAGCTTATACAGACGAGGAATTAGCTACCACTTTAGCACACGAGGTACGCAACAACAACCGTAGATTTCGTTCCAAAATTAGAATCGACTAATCGTGCTAAATTACAAGTGCAACTTGAAACATTTGAGGTAACATTCTACAATAAAGAAAAGTTACAATCTTTTTTTTTTTTTTTAAGGCAATATGAAAATTTTATTATACACTTTGGTGAGTTTACTTTTTATGGGTGATTAATTAGCAAGGTCACTTCTATATATATATATAAAGAGGAGCAACAAAACATTAAATTATATTATCATGCATTAAATTTTATTCTCATGCATTAAATTTATTCTCCCTCCAAAATTTTCAGCATTCAATTTCATTTTTAAGTTACAAAATAACTTGCTTAAATGTCATAAATTATGAGTATAAACCAATCAATGGAGTTACAAAATTGTACTCAAATTTTAAGTCACACTCACTCATGAAAATGACCGGGTATATTAGCATAAAGAAAATGATTGTAACGACTCTTCTATAGCAATTACTTGATCAAAATCAATTTTGAGAATTATTTTCTTAATTCATATTTTTTTCATGTATTAAATTATGATTGTTTTTTATATTGTTATCTTTTTAAAGTATTCTTTTCTTGGTTCTAATGACCTACTATCAGGCAACCTAGCATCAACATTTGTATTCATATCTGTTTCTGTTTGATTGGAGGTTTCAAATGTTTTCAACTTGAAGATTTGATCCTGAGATTGGGCATGGAGTGGCAATGCATTGAAGGGAACCCCCAATTTGCATTGTTGCCCTTTCTCCTAATTCCGTGGACTTCACCCTTTTGGGCCTCGATAATACTCTTGCGCGTATGCGACTTGATGCTTTACATGCTCCGAAGGTAAGAAGAGTTAACTTGCTAGGTTATATGCGAGTCACGATCATCCAAATTCATAACTCGGATTTTTTTTTTTTCAATTAGGTATGAACTCGAGGCTTATGTTGATGGCCTCGGCTGGTTACGACCCTAGGCTTGTGCCGGATTTTGTCAAGAAAAAGGAAATCAAGTGGGATGACGGTTATAAGTATCTATTGGACACGAATCACCCTTGTCACGGGCGAGTAGCCGAGATGCTGAGCCAAGAGACAGTGATGGATAAGGCGGTCGAAATATACGAGAAAGTTCGGGCTGCAGGCCAAGTACCGAGCTTTGTTGAGGGAAGGGAAATTAATTTTTGCAGCAGGCTTTTCAACACTTTTTCAGTTACTCAGTTTTTTTCCGAATTTAAACGAGCTGCGAAATAGTTGTGTTGAATTAGTAAGGTGGGAGAT